TTATCACGTAGATTGGGTGGGAACAAACAAATTTTGAGCCTTTATCCTTTGTTTCATAAACCGTGAACCAGGCCACGTTACAATCCTCAAAAGACCTAATTGAAACAAGGATATTTTGAAAGCATGCTACATCAAGGTTGCGTAAGCTGACTCCTAAAGATCTTTGTGAATCATTTATTTTGGCCGTATACCTGTATTAAACTTTGAGCGTTCTGGACCGCCGCGTTCTAATCGATGACTCATTTATTTTTCATCTTTCAAAAATAATTTTGATTTCAAAAGTTGCATGAACTTTGCATTACCATGTTTGTATGAATATTTTTGTTTGCAAACTGGCTTTCCTCTAAGGAAATTTTAAACAATCGAGAAACTTGGTCAAGTGATCCTATCAGGGGCAAAGTCTTCTCAGATCTGGTTTATCCATGAGATTTTCAATACTCAGACTGGGGCAAAACTTCTGAGGGTACAGTAAAACAGTCATTTTCAGAATCAGACAAGCTGAAGCAATTATCAGTTCATCTGTAATGGACAATTTAATCTGGGGCAGTTTACTTGAAAGATCTCCAAGCGGCTTTCCATCCTTCCTACGAGGATCATCAACCTGATTACAATTTAGCAAGTGACAGTGATCTCCGGGTTGAGGAATCAGTTTTCCAGTTTTGTCATCTCACCAACAGAGTCGAGCCTTGTCATTAACATCTGCATTTGCATGTGATCATATATCATAGCATAATTCTTATACATGTGCATATCATGGGTGTTTTATCCCTATTTGCTTTTTCTCCCGAGGTCGTGTTTTACTCGCGTATTACCTCGTGGATGAAGTCCAATTTACCTGGCATCATGGGTGTTTTATCCCCATTTGCTTTTTCTCCCGAGGTCGTGTTTTACCCGCGTCTTACCTCGTGGACGAAGTCCAATTTACTTGGCATCATGGGTGTTTTATCCCCATTTGCTTCTTCTCCCGAGGTCGTGTTTTACCCGCGTATTACCTCGTGGACGAAGTCCAATTTACCTGGCATCATGGGTGTTTTATCCCCATTTGCTTTTTCTCCCGAGGTCGTGTTTTACCCGCGTCTTACCTTGTGGACGAATTTATTTACTTGGCATCATGGGTGCTTTATCCCCATTTGCATTTTTCTCCCTGAGGTCGTGTTTTACTCGCGTCTTACCTTGTGGGCAAAATTTATTTACTTGGCATCATGGGTGTTTTATCCCCATTTGCTTCTTCTCCCGAGGTCGTGTTTTACCCGCGTCTTACCTTGTGGACGAATTTAGTTACTTGGCATCATGGGTGCTTTATCCCCATTTGCATTTTTCTCCCCGAGGTCGTGTTTTATCCGCGTCTTACCTTGTGGACGAATTTAGTTACTTGGCAGCATGGGTGTTTTATCCCCATTCGCATTTTTCTCCCCGAGGTCGTGTTTTATCCGCGTCTTACCTTGTGGACAAAGTCCAGTTTACTTGGCACCTATCGACTATTTCGTGTCATGTCTATCTGACGTTCTTCCAGATACGACGTGTCTCCTTTTCGATGTTCTTCCGAAATATTCTGATGTTGTCTCTCCCTATATGTTTTCTGGTGAGTCCTGAAGATCCCACTCGATCTCTTCAAGGAATGTCCCGAAAACTCAAGCGTCTGTCGTTTACCTGGTCCTGCCTCCGTGTGGATCATATGTTACCTTGTCACCACCGTGTGTCTTCTTCCCCAGTGCATTTCTTCGTTGCGCCGTCCCCTGTGACGTTGTTTCGTCTGCATCCGTGCATTTTTTTCATTTTCATCATACGCATCATATTAGATTCATGGCATTGTCAGCATTATAGTTCGTGTTATTTTGTCCATATCATTGCATATCACTGCATCTAGGGGCCAAATTTTCGGTTATCTGTATTTAAATCCCTTTCACCGCGATTTCTCGAGTCTCCGCTGCTCAAATCATCCGGTGAAGCTATTTAAATAGGGGCATCTGTTGCACCCCAAATTTGTCCTACCTTTACATAGTTTCTAGTGCCACTTTATTTCCAATGAATAAAATGGCACAATTGGCAAGAGACAGTGTGTAAGTAGTTGTGAGTGTGAGAGGTCGAGAGTTCAAATCCCACCTTCTTCACTTTTTGTTTTTCTTTTATTTTTGTTCTAACTTTTCTATTTTTCATAAAAAAAAATAACAAAAATAGTTTTTTAATTATTTAATTATTATTTTCGTATTTTATTTAAATTATTTTTTTAAAAATATTATTTTTCACTTTTTTCCATATTATTCATAAAAAAACATCAAAAAATCAAAAAATTAAAAATATTAGAAGATATTTTATTATATTTAGTAAATAAATAGAGTTTTAAGTTGTTTTAAGTTTGTTTTAATTTAGTTTTGACTAATTCTTTAAGTTGGGCTTTAAAGTGGGAATTAGGTTAGAGCTAACCCTAATTTTGTTACCTATATAAACATAAGTGATGGGAGGAAACTTCATTCACATCAGAAAATCAAGAACAGGTCATCAGAAAAGGAGACAAAAAGAAAAACGGCGGTCGTCAAGATCCGGAGGTTCAGAAGAGTTTCGAAGCTCATCATCATCACCTCCATTTGAGAAAGAGGAAAAGAGATCCAAAGAAGTTCGTCGAGAACCATTGCCGCCGGCGAAGAACAAGCGAAAGCATCACCAACCGGCAACTGAAATGTAAGCTTTTATGTTATCCCAATTAAAACCTCTTCCAAATAATTAAACTCTCATTTCATTTTTTAAACCTTTTCTTTTTTTCTAACTAAAAACCCTTTTTGTGAATTATAACTAAAACCAGTTTTTGATTATAATTACAGTAAGTAAAAAACTTAAAACTTTTTCTTAATTAAAACACTAACCACTAATAATTTTTTTTAATAAATAAACAGTGTTTAAAACACTTTTATAGTTAAGTGAAAACATTTTTACTAACTTAAAATTAACCCAGTCCTAAAATTAAAACTTTTTTTTAAGTATTAAAATTAACATTTTTTTTAAGTTTTAAAGATTAAAAATTAAAACATGTTAGAAAGGGTTAAAACTTTTTTCTAAAACTTTCTTTAAAGTTTTAAAACTAACATTCTTTTAAAGTAAGACTAACGAACCTTTTTTTTTATGTAAACTTCTTCTTTTAAAAAAAAAACTTATGATTAGAGTTTTTTTTTAATTTAAGACTTTCTCTTTTAAAAATTAAAATTAAAATTAAAACTTTCTAAAGATAAAAAGTTAAAACTAAAGTTTTGTTTATTTAAAAATTAAAACCTTTTAAAATTAAGACTAAAATTTTAATAAAAAAATATAAAAATTAACAAAACAATAATAAAAATTCCAAATTGCATTTTCGTGTTTCTTTTAATATAAAATATGTTTGCCATATTTTCGTCTAACTTTTCACTAACGTTCTCTGTTTCTCTCCTCAGATTATACATAGATTATGATTCATATTTATTTTAATTTATTTTGTTCCATGGATGTAATTTACGCGAGGCCATGGTCGCGATTTATTTTGTTTTTGTTTTTTTTGGGATTTGTAATTTACGCGAGTGATCGTCGCGACGCTTTCTTTACTTTCCGCACTTTAACTTTGTCGTATAATATTTTGTCATGTTTGCATGTTTTACCGTTAGAATTCCCTCCGAAGGAATTAGGTCTAGTTGTTTGACCGCCGAGTCAATAACCCTAGTTTTAGCCGTCTCAAACCCTAATTAACCTAGGCGTCCCGCCGTGGACAAAAATACCCTTTACCCTAGTTTTAGGTCAAAGAGTCGCCGTACTTTGTTTTAGGGTTTCCCGCCGTGGAATCCCTAATTTCAACCCTAAATTTTTAATTAACAAATTCAACGTAGAAATAGGAGTTTCAAAGACTCCACATAAGCGTGTCCTTAAGATACGTTTATTCCCCATTGAAACCTTGACCACAGTCAAGACGTTTCTAACCTCCCTTTCGAGGGGAACTACGATTACTCTGATTCCATTCCCTATCCAGGATACGTAGGCACAAGACGCGACGTCTTGCCGAGTAAACTTAGGACTAACCCTTAGGTCTTTAGGTCACTCTATCCCTTAGCAATATATTTCAAACAGATAAAAAAATAAAATAAAAAAGCATACAATAAACAAAAGGTTCCTGTAGAGTACTACAGAAGTTTAGGGTGCTAGTACCTTCCCTAAGCTTAACCAACCCCTTACCTAGATCTCTCCCCGCATTGTCTTTACGATGCAAAATTAGGTTTTCCTCTTTTGACCTTTTCCTTCGGATAAATCAAAGAGCGGTTGTGAACTAAAGATGCGATTCAAATTAATTAATAATTTGATATCATATTCTAACCGCAACAAGAATCTATCAAAGTTTTATCTTTTTAAAGAAAACGTCCTGTTAAATTAAAAATTAAAAAAGGTGAATGTTGCATATAAGCTACTATTGATTTTTTTTTTTAATTCTAATTACTCTAAAGTCTTATTCTTGCTATGCATTCCTTTCCTACCCTACTAACCGTTGTTATCATACAATATTACTATTATTTTGAATAAAGTAAGACCCAATTAAAAGAATAACCTAACGTTATTCTCCCTCCTAATAAAATCAAAACAGCGGAGACCGCAATGAGTCCCTTCTCCACAAACCCACATGGGATGCGGCGTCATCACATTACTTAACGCGTCCTCTCTCTCTCTCTCTCACACACACACACAAAATATCTTCGGTTTCGATTCTATCTTAAGCTATAACACCCTGCATTGCAACCTCACTCTTACTAACATGTATCTCCATTATTAACCCCTATTTTGACCCATTCTTTTTCCACCACGAAATTGCCGCTATTTAACACCCTCTCTCTTTGTTGTTAAATAACCCCTTCCATTCTCTCTGTCAAAACTCTTTTAAAATAACCAAAACATTCATTAGATCTCTGCGAAATTGTTCAAGGACCCTTTTTGGTTGTATCTCGAAACAACCATTAAAGGATCTGACATTCTTGCAGGATCTGACATTCGCCATGGAGGTTGAGATGGAGAAGAAGTACATATCATCCGATGAACTGCAAAAGCACAACAAGAAAGGAGATCTATGGATCTCAATTCAGGGTAAGATTTACAATGTTTCTGATTGGGCTAAAGATCACCCTGGCGGAGAGGTTGTTTTGTTGAATCTCGCTGGTCAGGATGTTACTGATGCGTTTATTGCATATCATCCTGGTACTGCATGGAAACATCTTGATAATTTTTTTACTGGATTTTACCTTGATGATTTTAAGGTTTCTGAGGTTTCTAAGGATTATAGGAGACTTGTTTCTGAGTTTGTGAAACTGGGTTTGTTTGAAAAGAAAGAACACGTTACTTTGTTCACATTAACATCTGTTGCTATTATGTTAGCTATTGTTGTTTATGGTGTTGTGGGTTGTTCCAGTATTTGGGCTCATTTGGGTTCTGGGATGTTGTTGGGTTTGCTTTGGATGCAAAGTACTTATGTGGGTCATGATTCCGGTCACTACGAGGTTATGTCCAGTCGGGCTTATAACAAATTAGCACAGATTATTTGTGGAAATTGTATGACTGGTATAAGTATTGCTTGGTGGAAATGGACTCATAATGCTCATCATATTGCTTGCAATAGTCTTGATTATGATCCTGATTTGCAGCATATCCCAGTTTTCGCTGTCTCGTCGCGATTATTCGGGAACATCAAATCTTATTTCTATGATAGACAGTTGACGTTTGATGCTTTGTCTAGGTTTTTGATCAGTTATCAGCATTGGACTTTTTACCCTGTCTTGTGTTTCGCAAGGCTTAACTTGTACCTTCAAACGTTTTTGCTATTGTTTTCACCAACGCGACATGTCCCTGATAGACTCTATAACATTATGGGGATCGCCGTGTTCTGGATTTGGTTTCCTCTTTTATTGTCATGCCTACCTAGCTGGACGGAAAGGTTGATGTTTGTTCTTGCTTGTTTTGTTGTTTGTTCCATCCAACATCTTCAATTCTGTTTGAACCATTTCGCTGCAAATGTGTACGTCGGTCCTCCAAACGGAAACGATTGGTTTGAGAAGCAGACAAGCGGAACATTGGATATCACTTGTTCAACATGGATGGATTGGTTCTTTGGTGGTTTGCAGTTTCAGCTCGAACATCATTTGTTTCCAAGGCTACCTAGGGCTCAATTGAGGAAGGTTTCGCCATTGGTGATTGATCTTTGCAAAAAGCATAATTTGCCTTATAGAAGTTTGACATTTGTTGAGGCAAATCTTTGGACTCTCAAGACTCTCAGAACTGCTGCACTGCAAGCTAGGGATTTCACTAATGCTTCTCCACAGAACTTGTTGTGGGAAGCTTTTAATACTCATGGTTGAGCTTGAGAAGAGAGAGAAGCATGTGGATTTTGAGTTGTGCAGAGAAGGTTTAAAGCTTTTTTCTATTATTATTATCAAACATTCATGTTATTGTCATTATGTTGAACTATGTATTGAGTTTAATTTCTCTCTTTTATTAGGCCTGTTTTGTTGTAATAACTCATAATATGATCACTGTCTGTGTTATAACATCTGAACAAAAAAAATATATTCAGGTTGCATTTTCATTTTCTTATTAGCTATCTTATTTTTTTTGGCTGTGTTACAAGAGTCCTGCATTGCCATATTATGGTCTGAACACGATTTTTTATAGATAGGTTAGACTCAAACCATACTTCTTAACATGATATCAAGAGTTTTCGGCGAACCATCTGTTATATGAGGTTTCCACTATCATGCTCTAGATGTCAAGTCACAGTTTTATATGGATGGATGAAGTAGGCTCAAACCATATTTTTTAACAGGTTGAGTTTCAAGAACACATGTTTGTTATTGTGTTTTAACTTCTCAAACATGTTTCATGGTTAATACAAGAAGATCTTTGACCAAAAGGAACAAAAGCATAGAAAGTCCTTAAACATTTGTACTGTATTTTTCTGCTTTTTTCTATTAATATGAAAAAAAGGTTGATGTTCAATGGTATATAGATGAAAACAAATTTCTCTCCTTTGGGATTCCACTGTCGGTATCATGATGATAAAACATAGTTAATGGAATCCAACCAGATATTTGCCATAAGAAAGTGTAGGTTCCATAACTTTGATTTTGCAGGTGGCATTCTAGCTTTTACTTGCTTAGCATATGAATATTCTTTATGACATTCTTAGCAACCGTGTTTCTTTTTAAATTTGACAACACCTATATTGGGCCCTCTAAAAGAGTGGTATGTTTTGGTTTTTTTTAGTTGGGTGTTCCACTCCTATCCAACACCCTTCTATTTCTTAAAATCAAATTTTAAGGTACTTCATTTATCATATTTATGGTAACTTTGGTCCAAATTTAGATTTTGAATCCATAAAAATGGTGATTTATTAAATATCATTTTTAGCACCAACAATCACCATTTTTAGGCTTTATAAAATTTTGGAATAAAAATTATGTGTTGGGATTAAAATAGAAGGATTAAATGTGGAATTAAACATTTTAAAATATCTTTTTTTGAAAAGAAAGTTAAAATCTTTTATTTTCTTGATTTCTTGTACATAAACAAAAATAGCAAAAATATATTTACTAATGTACTCGTAAAAATATATTTACTAACATACCCGTATTTAATGATCATCTCCTCGTAACATTAAATAACTAATGTAAGAATATTTTTATAACAATAATATTATATATGAATAAGTTAGATAATATTTCCGGAATATTTACTCCTCTCAAAAAGTTGGGTAATATTATCTTTAATATAAAATGCTTTGAAAACAATAAAAGATTATACTATTTAATAAATAATTTAATGTGTTAAAATTAAATTGTGTCAAAAATTGAAGGTACATTATCCAACTTTTTACGATGGATAGAAAAATTGTCCGATTTTCTGATGCTTAAAACTAAGAAATATGTATATGTTCTAATAGAGTTTAGGTTGACATCAAGGATGACTTCATGAGATTTGGTTTAGATTTTCACACTAACAAGAAATTGGTGAAAAATTTCAATTGCACCTCCATAGCTTTTATCCCTAAAGAAGCCGGTCCTCAAAGTTTGTCGGAGTTTTGACATACATCTTTAATGAGATTTATGTATAAAGTTCTAGAAAATGTGTTAGCAAATATGTTTAAGAAAACCATTAGTTCGGCCATCTAAAAATTTCAATATGATTTTATTTAAAGGTGTCAAATCCTTGACGGTATTATAATAGAAAATGAATTTGTCCATGAAACCACAAGATCGAAGAAAGATTTATTCTTTTTAAGGTAGACTTTGGAGAAACTTTTGCTTAGTTGACTGGAATTATCTGATATAGGTATTTCTTTGATGAAGTTTCCTTCAAAGTGGATTATAGGTATGGATAATTAATTGGTTTCGAGTCTAAAACTTAAATTTGACGTAAACTATTATTTTATTTTTATAGTTCAATTTCAGTCGATAAAGTTTTAGTTTTCATTAGATTCAATTAAATCGGTTTGACGGATAAATCAGATCTATTTAATCGGTTTAATATTTATTAGAACAAACCTAAAAAAATGACTATTTTTTTATAAAATCCAAAAGTATTTATTTTTAATTTTTAAAAAAATCAAATTTTTAGAATAGTGTAAAGAAATATTTTTGTATTATTGCATGATAATATTTTCAAGGGTTCAATACACAACACCCCCTGCAAAGTTAACGAGATTCGCTTTTGTCCCTTGTAAAAGACTTTTTTTAATCCTTTATCATAATACCCAAATTCCGTCACTTAGACCCCTGATTGCCAGATTTCACCAAAGATTATATCAACTTGTCAGCGTGGCCTTGCTCATTAATTTTAATTTTGTTTTAATATTTTACATGTTAATATTTATTTACCCCCATAGTTAGGTTATCATTCCCAAAAGTTACCATATTCAGCTCAGGTAAAGGAGGATGACGACAGATATTGCAGTTGTAGACGGAGTAGTAGTCGATGATCTTGATTGCAGACGAAGAGGAAGGAGATGTCATTGAAGCTTCCATGTCTGAGGTAAAGTAATTTTGACACTTCTTGTGAATTGTAACCGTGATTTTATACGACATTGAACCCTAACTCGATTTACTTGCATACGAAATAAAACTTTAATGTTATCCGAACCTTTATTCACATGATATGCAACATTTTAATGTTAGTTTTCACCATGGGGTGAATTTATTATGGTCAAGCAAAACGAGATTATTTACAGAGTGAGTGTTGATACGAATGCATCTGGGAAACACATTGAGAACTGGACAATGAAAACCATTCGCAAGTTGGTGAATAGGTGGGGTTATAAGGAAGGAACTTATAGGTTGTGGACTAAAATATTGGAAATTGATGATGATTTCTTTCAAATGAGAAAGGATGATGATGCATACAATTTTGCAGTTTATGTTTGTGTAAATCAAGTTGGTGGAGATATATTTATGAAACATGATGTTAAGAACATAAAACTTAGGGTAGAGGTTCCTAAGTTTGTTAATGGGGGTAACAGATATGGAAGGAATAAAATATGAGGTGGTTGAAGGGTTAGATGATAGTAAGGATGAAAGTGCTAGTGCTCTTGTAGATGGATTTGATGGAGTTGATGTAACTCTACCTATAAATGAAGAGGAGAGAGTTGTTGGATTGTTAGGTAGGCCCAACAAGAAATTGAAGAAGATGATTATTATGGTGATGAAATTTAAGTGGGGTATGAAATTTAATTATATAGTTGATTTTAAAGAGGAAATTTGTGAGTGGTCAATGATAAATGGTAGGGAAATTATTAATGTTATGCTCAAAAGTGGGCCACAAGTACACATATGCTATAAAAACATTGATGGATATCCACACATGTACTAGGGTTTTGAATAACAGATCTACAAGCTCAAAGTGGATGGCCAAAGTTGTAATCAAGAGAATGTAAACATCTGAAACAGTTAGAATATGTGATATTATGCAAGACATCAGACAAAATTTCTTAGTAGGTATAAATATTGCTAGAGCATGGAGGGCAAAGCTGATTGCAAAGAAAATAATTGTAGGTGATGTTGATAAATAATATGTAGATATATGGAGGTATACTATTGAATGGACAAGGGTCAATCATGGGAATACTAAGAAGATTAATGTTGACAGACCAATGCTCTCAATGCAACCAAGGTTTGACTTATTTTACTTTTGTTTTAATGGTTGTAAGAAAGGTTTTGTAAATGGATGTAGACCATTTGTTGGGGTTAATGGTTGTCACTTAAAGAACAAATATGGAGGACAACTACTAATTGTTGTGGGTAGGGATCTATTTACCGTGAAAATTGGTAACAACTAATGGTCTCCAAATATTGGTTAACTTGCAAAATCAGCCAGTGAATCCTAGGACATGTGCTAATGCTTTTTAAACTAAAGTTTGAGAAACAATGAACACTTCGACAATATTCATGATTTGAAAATAGTTTACTCCTAGAAATAAAAGAAATTACGTTGCAGGAAAGTAATCGAAAGTGTAGTAAAATGCGTTAAAAGTAACTTGTGCAAATAAAGAAGATAAATTCTGGGCAAAAGCATAAATTAAATTTGATTAAAATGTAATAAAATGGTGTTTCATCAAAGGTACATTTCTCAATAACTCTTTTCTCTACACATTGGGTACTTTAGTAATTTGAGTGACTTGTACAAACTTGACCACACACGAAATCCTAACATGAAGACCTCTTATTTATACTAAATCGAAATAACTGCCTTTAACAGTCTTTCTCCTAAATCAAGATAAGTAGTGCTCGACATGTATTTATTTCCTTAACATACTCCATGTGTCTTCTCTTGAAACTGGATAAGAACAAAGTTCCCTCCTTTATTCAAATTCAAACTTCAAATCAAAGACGCTATTAGTAGCGTCTTCATCGAATTACATCTTCAAACTTAGAAAGTCTCCCTAAGTCCAACCAACTCTTCCTTCTTGCACAAGGGTAACTTCGACTAGACCTCCTTAATTATATTGCCCTGTCGAAGTCCATTATAACTTCACATAAATTCTCTTTGCCTTATTTATTCCATTAATTCAAACTAGGCGTCGAAATTACGAGCTAACAAATTGCCCCCTAAAAATGTAATTTTCAACACCAAATGAAGAAAAAAGGAATTTTTTGACAACACAATTCGACGCCACAAAATATTCATGCACCTTAGCACAACTATGACGTCACAGTCATCATGACACTTTTTCTAAAATGTTTCCTCAATCCCACACAATAATCTTTCACAATCATCACGCTTCCCAGATCCTAGGCGATAGTGGGGGTAGGCTTTAACTGCCCCGTCTCATCATGAGCTCTTGGAAGGACACGCGTCCCACTCACTTCTT